AAGCCTGTCCTGAGCATTCTTTTCTATCTGTTTCCATGATGTCCCCGCTTTTTCAATTTCCACTTGTACCGCTCGCCTCTATGTCATCTTTGGTCTTCCCTTCTTACGCTTTCCTTGTGGGCCCCACGTTAAAGCCTGCCTGATGATGCTTGTCGGGGGTCTCCTCAGGGTAACAAACTACTATAGAAAAAAAAGATAAAAATGGACGAGCGTCTTAAACCGAGCTATGGGGAAATATAAAAACCAGTCGGTTTAGTGTCAGAAAAAAAGAAAAGGGTTGAAAAAAGAACTCAAACTAACAAACAGAAATAGACACAGAAACAAAACAAAGCAAAAAACCAAACCAATGCACATTAAATGATATGCTATTTAAGTTTCTTATTTTTTAATCTAAAAGGTTCGGTTCTTTTAAAAATTGATTGCAAAAATATCATGGTAGCTTGGATCATTTTCTACCGTCCCGTGTCCTCTACAGCCCAATATTAACCACAGTATTTATGCATCTTCCCTGCCTCTGTCCATGGAAAAGCAGACTAGAATCGAAACTTTTTAGACAGTGTCGTGAAGGCCCTTTACTTCTTTTTTGTGTTTGTCACACTCTTGTGACCTCTTTCCGGGGTGTCTTGATAGTCGAAGCAGACCTTGTGCTGTTGAAGCTAGAGAGGTGAGCAGTCTAAGTCTGATTCCCTGTAAAGACTTCTCTGAGATGGTTGACACCCACCCCTTGGCGCTCATATGACCTTATGCAGTTGCGAGCGCCGTAACACCCTCTACTATTTAAAAAAAAAGAAAGAACAAATTCTTTAACTCAGTAAGTTTGAAATATTATTTCCTTCGACTAGACTAGGTGAGTTCAAAGACTTGGGTTGCGCAAAAGCCACCTGCAGAGGCATTTGTGAAGCAGTGTGGTGGAATCAGGCTCTCGTCAAAATAATCAAAGTGAAGAAACTTGCATTTTTTCGCAGGTTTGTGAATATATATCAAATTTTTGTTTTTTTAGCTCAACACCTTTCATGCCCATTAAAGAACCCATTTCTGTGTGGATGTTTCTTAAAAACTTTGGTTAAAGGCACAACAAATGGAAATTTCCAGTTACTTAAGCTAAGGAAATAATTAATCTTTGACATCAATTTCCTCAGTAACTTTACCTCTGAAAACAGATGACCCACACCCCTTTCACTCGCCAATATCTCGACTTGTATTTAAGATAAATGGATATTTTTTTCTTTTAAATAAAGACAATTAAACAAGCTTTAAGATGATACCGATAACTCTACATGCCCAAAAACTGACGAGTGCCTGACTCTACCACGCTGCCTCACATTTTCCTAACGACGCCGTGACGATAGAGTCTGTTTGCCACGATTTGACGTCTGCGTCAGTTTCCCCAGATGCTGGGGACACGCATATAGCAAACAGAGAAGACCATGGCGAAACTCAGACTTTGACCGGTCAGATAAAAACAAAAACAACTGGTTGAGACAGTAGTGCGCGGATGGCACAGACAAACAAGACCTCTGATCTCTGGATATCAGCGGGAGTCCTCAGATGCTGTCTCGTCTGGCTTCGATTTCCCAATTTGTGCGCTGCAGGCTGACGCTACGTCATTAGCTTTATCTCACTCACTCACTCGAATTTGACCTAGAAGGGACACGTTTAATAGTACAGATTGAAGACAATAAACGTTTTGTTTTATTGATGGGGTTGTTGTTTTT